CTGCAAAGTAGTTACATGGACATATAACAGACAGTACTGTTATATTTACATAGATTTTTTGTTTTGTTTTTGGACCCGGCATGGCCAGGTGGTTAGGGCGCTCGGCCCGCAATCTGCGGGCCGCGGGTTCGAATCCCCGTCCCACCAAATATGCTCGCCCTTTCAGCCGTGGGGGCGTTATAAAGTGACGGTCAATCCCACTATTCGTTGGTAAAAGAGTAGCCCAAGAGTTGGTGGTGGGTGGTGATGACTATCTGCCTTCCCTCTAGTCTTACACTGCCAAATTAGGGACGGCTAGCGCAGATAGCTCTCGTGTAACTTTGCGCGAAATTGAAAATAAACAAACAGACAAACAAACAACGGGAAATTCAAGCCGCACACTTCGTCCTTCCTTCCTCACAACTGAACTATAAGTATGTGAACTTCGTATCCTTACATTTTATTTTGGTTCTTAATACAAAAAAGTGCAAAAACTATTTTGAACGAAGGGACTATTGTATTTTGTGTGTACACATGTCTGTGAACAAAGGTACTTGGATTTTACGTTTCATTTGTGAAAATTCAGATTGCTTAAATGTGTCGCAAAGAAAAAATAGCTTATCCTGGATTAAAAACAACAACAACAACAAACGGCACTCTTTTAAAGTTGTAATAGTGCCAAATTCAATTAACATTTATATTCTATTCTACTATATTAAATATAGAGGACGGGGAAAAGGGGGGGGGCTGTACAGATGCTTCATTTAGGACTTTATTTAATTTTTAACTATTACTATGAAACAAATAATAATTATATTGATTTCTATCATCTTTGTACTATTTTCTTTAGTACCAACAGTATAATACAAATTATACTATTCGTGTTGCACCTATTGATGGTGATTTTTGTATCACCCTGTATTTATATATATATGTATGTATGTGTGTGTGTTTAAATGCAAGTGTTTTATAGTGTTTTGATAGCAAAAATATTGTTATTTCTCTACCCTGAAACGGCGTTTATTTAATGGATTTGCGAGCTTTACATAGCAACATATAAATGTAATCAGCGTATATTTAATCTGATTGACAAATAAAGAAATCGAAACTGGTACATTTATCACTTTTTAAGCTTTTAAACAACGCGTATTGAAAAAGTGATTTCTACGCCATATATAGCAGTGATACAACAAACATTTTAAGACAATAATAATACCCCCACCAGTAACTCAGTGATAGATCTGAAGGCATATAATGCTATAAAGCGGGTTTCGATACTAAACATGGGGAATTTTATGAACCAATATGAAGCACTCCCCATAAATCGACCAGCGAGGGTACTTCACTAGAGATGGGAGAATTTTATGAACAAATATGAAGCACTCCCCATAAATCGACCAGCGAGGGTACTTCACTAGAAATATGGAGTTTTAACAGATATGAAGCACTTCTCATAAAGCGACCAGCGAGGGTACTTCACTAGAAATGGGGAGCTATATTTCTCTTCAAAAAAGCGCATTTTCTGTAGTTCAGATGTTCTTGAAATGCAATGAATATTTCATCCACAAACAAACACCCGTTATAAATTAATGTGAATAAAAATTTCGAAGTTAATGAAAACAGTTTGAGTAGGTAGAAATATTTTAAGAAACCAACCAACCTAACAATCTTACTTTAGTGTGACGTGACGTGTGTGATTATGGAGAAGGTTTCCGTTTGTTCTATGAACAACTTGTTGAAATTAGAGCTCTCTGACGCTTATCAAAACGGAACATAGGTGTATTTGAACATTCTTTTGATAATATAACTGCCAAATTATATGGAAAAAAAGTGTAAAAGTATCATCGAATTTTGACACTTTAGATAATGGCAAGGTTTTAGCGCAGAATCTGTTGAATAGGCGCTAAATACAGCACGGACGTTCCATGTACACGGCAGTGCTTACCCCTGTGCATGCTACATTTTAAATAGCATGCCTGTCAGACAGTGAAAGCTACATTGAATACCAAGGGGCACACTGTCATCGACTTGTGAGATACGCACTGTTCTATTAGTTTTTAGTGAATTTTCAACAAACCGAAGGCAAAAGATACGATTGGCATTTCGCCAAGAGCCTAGGGGCGCTGGAATCTGAGCACTCCCGCCTCTAGATAATGTATTATACAAAGCAGCTTCTGTCTCTAGCACCAAAATAAGTAAAATAATATAGAGACATAATTGTATTTCTCTTGTTCTTGAACAAGAAAATTGCACATTTATGCAGGTCACCATTTACATTCCTTATTATCTTTTAAAGCTATGATTTGTTTCACGTTTTGAGTAATTTATTTATTCATTGATGTAGTTGTACAAAGCTGCTCTGGTAATTTGATTAAATGAGATCTTA